GAAACATTAATAATGAGTTGTAAGAGGAAAGAGTAATCAGGAGGGCAGTTAGTGATTGACATTGCATTTAAATATTTGAAGATTAAAGTTGGCTGGAAAGCATGGAGCCAGAAGGGAATTCGACAAGCAAGGCAGTAAAGCCACTAAGACATAAGGGATTACTGTATGTGGAAGAATTAGGAACAGAAACATTAATAATGAGCGGGAAGAGGAAAGAGTAATCATGAGGACAATAGATAGCGATTGACATTACATTTAAATTTTTGCAGATTAAATTTGGCTGGAAAGCATGGAGCCAGAAGGGAGTTCCACAAGCAAGGCAATAAAGCCACTAAGACACAAGGGGTTACTGGGTGTGAAAGAATTAGGAACAGAAACATTAATAATGAGTTGTAAGAGGAAAGAGTAATCAGGAGGGCAGTAGATAGTGATTGACATTGCATTTAAATATTTGAAGATTAAAGTTGGCTGGAAAGCATGGAGCCAGAAGGGAATTCCACAAGCAAGGCAGTAAAGCCACTAAGACACAAGGGTTTACTGGGTGTGGAAGAATTAGAAACAGGAACATTAATAATGAGCAGGAAGAGGAAAGAGTAATCAGGAGGACAGTAGATAGCGATTGACATTACATTTAAATTTTTGCAGATTAAATTTGGCTGGAATGCATGGAGCCAGAAGGGAGTTTCACAAGCAATAAGTACACGAAAAGAAACTTACGGTTATGTCTAGCCAGCTCAGCTGTAAATGAGGTCTCGATGCCAGTCTTGTACTGTATTTAAATTCAAGAAGTCTAGGTACCATAGGGAAGAGCTCATCTGGATAATGACCATGAAAGTATTTATAAAAATAGCACAGAGAGTCAGCCTTATGGCGGTGGGAAAATGATTGAAGCTGAGCTGCCAGTTCAGGACCAATAATATTGCCGATTCTTTTTTGGATTTTATGAAGGAGCTGAGAGCAAATAGCAGTGGCACCGAACCATATCTAGCAGCAATATTCTAAGCATGGGCAAATGGTAGACTTATAGATATGTAAGATAAATTCTGGATTGAAAAATTGTCTCACATGACATAGTGAACCAATTTCTTAGCAGCTGACCTAGCAATAGATTCAGTATAGTTTTTACGTGTCACGTTAGCTGAGCATGAGCCCTAAAGAGTGCAATGAGTCATTTTCCTTGAGGTTAGCATCGGCCATGCTGATGGAAGGTAGAGAGAGGTCTCTCAGATGATTAATGGAGAAAAGTTTCAAGTTTGGAGGTGTTAAAATTAACAAGCCATCTTTTGCCCCAGTTTTGGACATCAGTTGCCATTTTGACTTTGTTGGACTGATCAGCCTTACTAACAAGGTAGGATTAAATGATTGTGTCATCAGCATAGATGACAAGTTGAAAGTTATTATCATCAGGAAGGTCATTAATAAAAGTATGACCAAGGATGGGCCCTGGGGGACACTGCATTAATACGAAAGGATCTAGATGAGTGGCCATTCAAGACAACTTTCATTTCACAATTTGATAAGAAAGACCAGATCAGTTCAAAAATGTGTCCAGAGATACCATAACTTTTCATCTTGTGGAAAAGACCTTGAATGTCAGACCCTGTCAAAGACTTTCAAGATGTCCAGATCTACAGCCCAGGCTTCACCATTTTTATCTAGAGCATGATAGACTCTTTCTGCAATTAACATCAGTACATCAGCAGTTGACCTGGAGAAATGAAAGTCGTATTGCTTGTCTGAGAAAAGACCCTGCGATGAGAGATGATGAACCAATTCAGCATTGATTAGAGCCTCTAGGAGTTTCCCAAAAAGAGGTTGAAAGCTAATAGGTTGATAGTTGGATGGGTCAGACGGTTCACCAGAGTTCTTAAAAACTGGAACAACAGACAATGACTTCCAGCAGACAGGAAAGCATGAGGCAGCGAGTTGTTTATTATACAGTTTAGAGAGAACAGGAGCCAGTTTGGAAACACACTTCTTAATGACTATTAAATGGATACCATTGGGTCCACAGGCTTTGTGAGGATCTAGGATAGGTATGATAGCAGAAACCATGAAAGGGATTATATACATATCACTTAATAGAGACTCAGTTCTAAGTGGGAAGTTAGGTAGGGATACTCCAGATGAGTCAAGAGTATAGTTTGAGGAGAATTTACGGGCCAAATGTTCAGCTTTATCAGCAGAGGATGATAACACCTCAAATTGATAGAAGAGGGGAGCAATAGAGGCCTTACACTTATTACAGAGCCTCCAGTAACCATGAGACACAAGGTTGTTAGAGGATATGCAGTGCCACATTCTCTTGGCAAACAGGCACTATATATATATATATATATATATATATATATATAGAGACAGAGAGAGAGAGATGAACAGACTGAGATATTAGTCATCCACGGACAGACTATTTTGCTGTATTACAACTCCTCAGTGTGGCTAGATGTTCAATTGCTTCAAGCCGGGATTGAAACCCAATTGATTTGAAATCAGTCAGATCTCTTACCTCTTGGTCATTGTCGCAGGGAAGGAAGGGAATTTTAACATTATTCCCTATACAATATACGCCAGCAGCTCATAGAACTCAATTCAATTTTACCTGAAGAGTAATGCTTGTGTGTGTGTGTGTATATATATATATATATATATATATATATATATATATATATACACACACACTCACAAAAAATCCAAAATCACTCCATATGAGGTCGTCCTGGGTATGACGTTAAACTGCATCCAACAACAAGGCCTCTGATCAGGAAGTTTCGAGGAGCGTGGAACCACATCTTAATTGCTGGTGTTCTCAGGGCCACCCTGACCAGGGGTGGTAGCACCTGTTAGGGTCCCAGCTATAGGCAAATAGTGAACTAGTTTTTTCCAGATCTTACCCACGTCCTGGGTATGACAATAAACTACATCCGCGTCCTGGGTATGACGATAAACTATGTCCAACAGCATGGCCTCAGATAATGTTTTCGGAAAAATAATGTTGCTAGCTGTGCGTTTTTGAAAAAATAATGTTGCCAGCTATAAGTGTAATAGTACTATATATTTAATATATAACTTAATTTGGCATTAAATGACCTACAGTGGTTGATATAAAACCCAACCAACCCATATGAGGTGATTTTGGATTTTATTTTGTATTCATTTTTGCTCTGTAAGAATAACTGCATTGAGCTCTTTTTGTGATCAGTTTTAATATTTTATATTACCAGGATCCATTTTTATTTTATACCAATGAATTTATTACCTTTAATATATATATATATATATATATATATATATATATATATATATATATATATTTGTGTGTTTGTGTTAGGCAGAGGTACACCAGATGAGTCAAGAGCAGAATTTGAGGAGAATTTATGGCCAAAAGCATTCAGCTTTTATTAGCAGAGGCTGATAACATCTCAAAGTGATTGAAAAGGGAGGAATAGAAACTTTACCCTTATTTAGTACCCTATTATAGAGCCGTCAATAATCATGAGAGCCAAAGTTGTTAGATGCTATGTGGTGCCTTATTGTCTTGGCACACAAAGACTTAGCTTCTTCAAGGACTTACGTATGTTTATTATGAGCAGAAACAAATAGACACCTGTTGTGATGAGAGCTGTCATCCTGGTATAACTAAAAATATTGGATTCTGTGTGCTATAGCGACTGATCAAGCTGGTGTGAACCATGGAGAGGATTGAAGTTTTAACTGGTATTTTCTTGGAAGGGATAAAAGTGTACATAACCACTTTGACCTAAGAAAAAACTTCAGTGATGCAATTTTCAATTTGGAATTCAAAGATGTCAGTCCAAGGGCATCATGAAGAAAATCACAAAGTGAGTCCCAATCAGCATGCTTGTAAGAGAAAGCGTATAGAATAGGGGGTTCTTTTACTTGACAATCTACCTGTCTTTTTTTTTGCGGGGGGGGGCTTCTGATTTACACAGGTGAAATCTCTCACTAGGGATGGTGTGTGTGTGGGGGGGAAGGTCCTTCACCTTATACTCTCTCCCTATTCATTTTCCTTCTCTTTCAGCTCTGAGTGTCAAAGATAATGTTACAATGTCATCACAAACTCACACACACATATATGTATAGGTTACTTTTGACTCTTTCAAGTAGCAAAGTGTTATATAAAAAATAATACAATTTAAAATTCTTTCTTGCATAGAAGTGAAAAAATATTTTGAATTTATGGTGTTAATGCATAAATACATCCATAGATATGCAACCCCTGAAGATGACCTCAGATGAGACTGAAAGTACTTGGGAAAATAAAATTATTTGAAAGAAAATTTTGGTGTTTTTCTTGATCAATTTTCTAAAGCAACCAATTAATACATGGATTAAAACTAAAATAATAGACAATACATCTAAAACCTGCTTGAATAAAAATATGACACCTTGAAAGTATCTCTATACCGCTACTTATTATTAACACCCTACACTCGCCTACCCAATTTAGACAATTCACCCCAGCTGTTACCATGGGGATTTTGATTTCAATTTTTAAAACAAGTAAATTTCAGATATACGTTATTCCAACAAAAATTTCGCTTGAAGATGGAATGGAGCCCATTTTAATTTCAACTCAATTTAATTTAAAGGATTATATTGAAGTTTTTTCGGCTTGTTTTGAAACATGAGACCTCTTATGTAGCGATTTGGAATCATATTTTTAAATAAATAATTATATATATATATATATATATAAGTCAACACACACACACACATACATATATATATATTGAAGTCAAAACTCAGAGGTGACAGGCTGTTTCATGCTAGACGTAATCGTCAAGCTGCCTAGCATGAAACAGCCTGTCGCCTCTGACTGTTGACTTCAATGTTCGCTTTTATATTTACATACGCTCTATCTCTGATATTGAGCACTTTATCCCATAAATATAGAGCACCTTAAAACTATATTTCTTTATATATATATATTTTCAATAAGAATTAAATGGACTTTAATTTCTGTCTGGTTTATTTTGTAGGATAATCGTTTGCTTCCAGTTTTGGATCTGGAAAACCTCAAAGACACTGGTAAGTAATTTATTTTTTTTATTGTCTGCATTCTCTCAAGCTCATCCGTATAATTGCTGCAACCAAAAGCAAAACAAGAACAAATGATGTTCAACTGTTCAATAATGGTCATGGACTCCTTAAAAAAATAATATTACACATGAACAAAATAAATTTCTTTAAATGATTTTGATGAAAAGAAAAACAGTTCAACTTTACTTTTCATTGAGGAAGGACACAATTTTTAGCATTGAGGAATATGTTAATTTTAATGCCTCCAAAATGAAACTTCTATCTTTTAGTTTCTTTGGAGAGTTTTTTTTGCCTTTCATCAGCATGGCTGATGCTAACCTCCAGGAGACTGACTCATTGTGCTTTCTGAGACTCACATTTTCAGCTGACATGAAGTGGAAAGAGATATATTGAATCAACTGCTAGGTCTGCAGCTAGGAAAGTTGGTTCACTTTGTCTTGCTAGATAATTTTTCTCACCAGAATTTATCTTACATATTTATAAATCTACCATTTATACATGATTCGAATATCACTGTCACATCTGGTGCTTCTATTTAGAGATTCTTGACAAAATCCAAAGAAGAACCTGCAATGTTGTTAGTCCTGACCTGGCATCTCAGCTTTAGTCACTTTCCCATCACCATAATGTAGCTTCCCTGTGCCTTTTCTTTGAGTACTTTTATTGTAGCATACCTACGGATGATAATGAGTATGTCCCCATTAACATAAACACAGTAGTAAATACTGTATGTTGGTCTGCAGTTATATTTTCAGTGCAGCTGTAGCTTAGTTTTAGTGTATTTCTATTAAAAGTCTTGGTGGATTATTTCTGGGGAAGTGTTTCTCAATTACATGTAGAAACTTTTGCCCTATTTAACCATTTAATTGATTAATCAAGACACACCCACAAGTCTATTTTTAATTGTAACCTTATGTCCCTCCTCCTTTAACTTTCAGAAAAGAGTAAACACTTTGATTTTAAATTTCCTTAAAAATCATTTAATCATCAGTTACTTACCATCGCCTGAAGAAGTACAATCAAAGTATTGAAACAAGAAAGCTTTTTTTGTAGCAATTTCAAAAATGTTTTTATTATAATCTCTTATAATAAAAATATTATTTATATATATATATATATATATATCAAAGATTAGGGGGAAAAAACAGTAGAATTACAGCATTCAAAACATTAATTTAAATTAATTTCCATCTCTACATTTAAATTCTAGAAGACATTTTATGAAAATTTCCAAAGAACAGAAGTGGACAATATTTGCTTTGATAACTGTATTTCTAAATAAAATTTTTTAGTAATGCCGTGATTCCCCACCTGATGAGACGTTTAAAAAAGGTTTTCCCTTCTTTGACATTGAAACAAAAATGTACAATTTTGTAGTGGATATGCGCATGTTCTAATGTAACACTGCATAAGATATATATATATATATATATACACACACACACACTTAAAATATTCCTTTTTTTAAAGCCCTCATGGATTTTGATTTTTGTTATACTTATGAAGTAATTGTGTTTTTTTTTTTTTTACAGAAATGCAAGTCTTTTGGGCTGTGTACAGACTGGGTCATGCCGGAATTGTTAAAAAGGTCAGTTGGTTTTGATTTCAAATAAAAATATTTGGAAAGATTTTAAAAGTAGGAGGAATGCCAGTCATTAAAATAACATAGGACATTGTCAATTTTCCAGCAGATGTTCGTATTCATCCCTCAATATCTTGACTTTGTAATCAGATCCATTAATTAAAATATCAAATTCTTAAATTAACGTTCAACAAAGGAATATAAAATGAGGTTGTATTTATCTGCAAACTTTGGTCATGTTGGGATGCTTTTCACCCCCAAAACCATGCCTGACCCCCATGTCATCATTTGATGAAGGCTTTGTTTGGTGGAACAGCTGTTGGTTTTTCTAGCAGTACGTATATAAAATGATATCTATTTTTAAAGTTTAGATGACACAAAGAAAGGTTGTATGAATTAATGTTTCATTTCTGGGCTCTTGAACATTGACTGGAAAATTGTAAATACAATGAAGCTGCATTTCCATTTGACATTTCCACACTGTAACGTAAACCCAATACGGTATACTTTGGGCCTTTAAACTCATACCTGACCTCTTAGTCATCATATGATGAAGGTTTTGTTAGTAGCATTGATGTTGCTTTTCACTGCAGTAGGGCTATAATAAATAAATATATATATATGGATTAATATATATATATATATATATATATATATATATATATATATATACACACACACATATCTATATATATATATATATATATATATATATATATACACAGGTATATAATCCATTGACACTAGTTGAAATAGTCTATACTTATGAGGTAGTTTTGGGTTTCTCTATTATGTAATAAATATATATATATATTTGTTTTTTTTTTTGCTTTTTTTTTTTACTTGTTTTATTGGTTTTCAACAAGTTGTTCATGATTTTTTGAAGAAAAAAATTATTACCAGCAATAAAAATTTTGCTGGCATTTAATAACCATTGAGGTTGATATGTCATAAAGCAAACCAAACCAAAACCAGGAGTCAATCCGTGGAATTCCTTTCTGTCTGGTGAAATATTAAAGGTGTTGTCCATTATGATCTAATGGAACATGTAAGGACCATCACTGCAGATCTATATTGCCAGACACTTTATTGGGTAAAAAAAGCATTATGTGAAAATGCTCTGATTTGATTTGATGTAAAGACACAAAGTGCAAAAAAAAAAACCTAGAAAAAATAAGATTTTGTCAAACAAGTTGCACGTTTCTTTCACATCGTCCACACTCACCACCTACAGATTTTCATTTGTTTTCATCACAAAAACATTTCATAAGAAGCTGAATATGCAAAAACAAATAAAAAGTTGTAAACAATCTTTCAAACTTAAAGTGCATTGGCCAATATTTCAAGCAAATTGGGATTACTTATAAAGAGGGAATTATTTAAATACCGATTTATACAAATGTAGGTACCGCCAAGAATTTTCTAAAAGAGAGCATGATGAAAAAGTCCCCAAACTTCATAAAAACAAATTTTTATTGTCAAAATGGTTTGTTTTCAAGAACAAAGACTAAAGTATTTTTTTGATTATTTTATTAAATTTTTTCATCCTTTTGAGCAGGTTTGAAATTAAAAGTTTTGTTTTTCTTGTGTCAACAGCTGGACATCTTTTTTGCAGTAAAAAACACATTGTTTTCAGAATTCTTGCAAAATTAAATAATTTTTGGATTTCAATTAAATTTTCAGGACTTATTCACAAATGAATGAAATTATTTTTAAATATTTTTTTTTTTTTTTACGTCTGTTACTCCCACTTAATTTTATGAATTTTCAAGAAATTAAAATCTCAGCCTCTTCATATTTATATTAGTTAAAAGCAGGACTCCTTGGAGAATTTAAATCACCAATTTGTTTTTGTTAAACAAAAACACCATTTACTAAAAATCTTTTCAAAATGGTAAACTAAAAATTGCATTAAAACTATGATATTATTTAATTAGAAAAGCTTTTAATTTCTTTTATAAATAAGATATATTAAGGACACTATTGTCTTCAGGAAATTTTTTTTCATGAATAATGAATTTTTACAAGAATTGTTTTCAGTTTTTAAAAAAAAAATTTATTTTAATCTTCTAATATTTTGTATTAATTTCAGTGGTTTTGATGATATTATTATTAAGTGAAAACTATATTTACTAATCATAAATGAAAAAACTTAATACAAATCATTAAACACCAATATTTTAAAAATAATTTTGAATTTTTTTATTAGTATATAAACATGCTTTTTTTTGTAAGTACAGGTGACCCTACACAACATTATCAGAAAATAAGAGTGATGACTCTAGTAAATTTAAAGCCAAAATTTTTAAAATTCAGTAAAACATTAGATTGTGGAGAATATTTTCCTAAATTTTGAAGTTTACTGAGTAGTTGAAAATTAAATGAAAAAGGCATCCACATTATTTTCTTCAGTTATGTTTTATAGATAAAGTCTCCATAGAACAACATTGTCAAACATGTTAATATAGCTACTGTCGGTTAAAACACAGCTACTGTTGGATTAAAAAATGCATTTCTGCAATATTTTAAAAGTAAAGTAAATATTATATTTTAAATCAGCTAGTATTCCTAAAATAAAGTTTCAGAAAAGTATATTTTATTTTTGAAAGACTTTTTTTTTTTAATAAAGAGAATTACATTGCAATGAAAGATGACTAAAAAAGGTGCTAGTCAGCTATTTTAGGGGAAAAAAAAAACTCCTTCCAGTCACTTTAAATTAGTTTTTGAAATACAGCAAAGTATTTTGCTAATTGGAAATATTAAATTTAATCTATTAGCTTGAAATTAAAACTAAAAGCTTCAAGAAAGATTTTTCATTTTTAAAAATTCTTTTTAAACCTTATGTAGCATTTTTTTCTGTTTTTTGTGGAGGTACCTAAATAAATGGCACACAAATGTAAACGTTACAAAACTAAGTTTGTTTTCAAACAAACAAACAAAAAAAAACAAAACATTTTGCTTATTATACATTTTATATATATATATATATATATATATATATATAAATTTTGAAATGGACAAAGTTCGACAATTATTTTAATATATTTATTGTTTATATATTGTTTAAACAGAGTATTTACTTAAATGACATCACAATAACTTAACCAATAACTACTACAATGCAAAGAAGATATTTAAATGTTTCAATTTTAATATATACTAAAGCATATATACTATTTATTACTATATAAAATATATTTTAGAACCTGCATATTGACCTTGACTTGTATAAAAATCTGTTTACTGTTTGCACACTGAATGATTTTAAAACCCTAATTTGGCACATAGTTAATAAAAGGTTGCAGACCCCTGCTCAAGAGCATGATGGATCTAACTGTGGTTTCTCTTACAATGGGGGAAACAGGTTTGATCCTTGCTGGAGAGCAGATTTATTGAGTGTGCTAGATGTGATAAACAATGTTTAAAACAAAAAAAAGGTTGTTTTTCCTCAAACACAGGTAACCAATAAAAATAATGTTTGAAGTAATATATATATATATATATATATATGAGGTTTGTCTGGAAATTAATGGGACTAGGTTGTGCTGTGGGAGCTCTCGGTGAAAGTGAGAGAAGCAGATTGTGTTATCATCTAACATGATATCTTGAGCGTATATAACTGTAATCTTAGCTTTCTGAAACCAATACATTTTTTTTTCACATGTGAGAGTTGTGCAGCTTCACCACAACAATAGACATCTCCATAACGTTCTGAGCATCTATCAGTTACTGACTGAAAAGAATATTGACATACCAGTACAACCTTCCTATTCACCTGATCTTGTTTTGTGTGACTTTTTTCATTTCCCCTGTAGTAACACAGAGCATGGCTTACCTAGTAAAAAGCGTGTTCAAGTTGCTGCTGAGGCTTGGAGGTATGCGTGTGCATCAACTGTGATTTGAAGACTTGGACATCACACAAATGCAAAAGTATCTACTAGGGGACAGTAGTAATTCTATAGCTGACGCTAGTGGTCAGTAGTAGAAAGAGAAAGTGGTATAGGTGACATAAGCAGAATACTCTATTTACAGCCTGGTAAATGTTGTTTAATACTGTTTATTATAAACAGAACATTTACTTAAATATTTGTATCTATAAAAAGAATGTATAAGCATAAAAATGTCTTAAAATAATTGCCGGACTTTGTCCATTTCATAATATATATATATATATATATATATAGACACACACTACAGTTCAAAAGTTTAAAGTTACTCCCAGATTCAGCCTAGGATGAACTTGAGAGAAGAGTGGGGAAAAAAAAAAAATAGTCATTGAAAAAAGAATGGAATCAATTATCAAACTTATACTTTGATAAACTTTTGCAATGAAAGCTACAGATTTGTGCTGCAGTAATCAAGGCTAAAGGAGAAAAATCACGTGAATAGGGGGTTGTTCCGATACAGAAATGTTCTTCTTGATCAGGAACTGTCAGATATTCAGGGCATGGTGAAGCAGCTATGATTTGTCCTATCACAACTTTCTTCTCTTCTCGTGCACTGAGCGAAGTAAATGTCACAGGAACTCTTTGTAGACTTGAAGATTAATTGTCTGACCCTGTGGCTGATGCCTCTTATACCAAAGAATGGATAAATCCAGTTACTTTTCAGACAGACCATACACACAGTTTTAAAGTATGCTATATTAATGGATTAAAGTGCTCAATATCAGAGATAGTGTATGTAAATGTAAAAGTGGACATTGAAGTTAACACCCAGAGGTGACAGTCTGTTTCATGCTAAACTTAGTTGGCTTGAAAATTGTGTTTATCATGAAACACTGTTGCTTTTGGGTGTTGACTTCGATGTTTGTTTATATATATATATATATATATATATATATATATATATATATATATCTCCAAGTATATAATTGGTATATACGGAATGAATTCCAATAACCAACAATTACTATTCTTAAAAGAGTGCTCAATACAAAGTAGAGCAGATATAATTATTTTTTTATAAAAAAAAATTATAACATAAGTATAAGATTATAAAAAATT